GAAGAAAGAGGAGGGGGAAGAAGATACAACAGCAACAACAATAATAATAAATGACAATAATAATAATGACAATATAAAATTGTGGGGAAAACCATCAGGGCCGTGGGGATTCTCCTGCAGTCTGAGGAGGCTAGGGGTTCCCTCCCTCCAGCTGCAGATGTCTCCCAGATGTGGTGGGCGGGACACTGGGACAGCGGCGCGCGAAGTGTGGGTGGGTGAGGGCGAGAGGTCCGGGTCTGGCGCGCTAGGGGCCAGGGGCCCGCGCTGTCGGGGGAATGGCTGTTCGCTGGCAGGCTGGGAGGAGCGCGGGCGGAGCCGGGGGTAGGAGTGTGCGAGGGCGGGGGGGGGGGGGGGGGGCAATCCTGGCGAGGCGGCGGTGGGCTCGGGTTACTTCCCTTTAACCCGCCGGGCCAGGCGGGTGGCAGCGGCTAGGCAAAAGCTGCTCTGAGCGGTGCGGTGTCCCAGGCAAGTGAGGAACGGCGACTTTGGGCTTCAGAGGTTTGGGGACACCCAGCGTGGGGCTTGGCATCCAGGATGCGGGAGCCAACTGCAGCTTCTGCCCCACTCAGATGGGTAAACTGAGGGCCTGGAGCTGCCGAGGCTGTTGGAGTGGGTCCCTAAGGTTGTCAGCCGTCTCCAGATGCCTACAGGGCTCAGAGGGAGGTCCTGGCTTTGATGACAGAAGACGGAAAACAGGGTGGCTGGAGTCCGGGAACACAGGGTGGTGGCTGGGTCCTGGTGGAGAGAGGGTGGCCAGAGTCAAGGATACAGGGGAAGAGAGGTGTCGAGGGACATGCGGTGGACGGAACCCGGGGTCGAGAGGATACTGGATGGTTGGGGCACAGAGGACTGGGACGGTGCGAGTGTAACAGGGCGCGCGCTGGCTCAGGGAAGTCACAGAGAGCAAAGCCACAAGTTTCTGCTCTGCAGTTTCGCCCAGCCGGGTTTAGAGCGCTGGCCCGGGCGCCGGACCTCAGCCCCTTGTGAGGAAGCGGGAACTAGACTTTATCCTCGTTTCGCTACCTGGACTCCTGGAGCCCACCACACCCCATCCATTGGCATTCTTCCTGGAAGCGTGCCAAGCCAGAGGTGGCCGATCCTAAGCGGTGCCCTCCTGGGAGCAGCGCCGGTGGCAACCCGAACTTGTTCTGCGAGTGGGGTCTTTCAAAGCAGAAAATCTCCAATAATAACCTCCGGTCGTCAGACCGACCTGGACGGTCAGGGCTTTTGTGACTTAAAGCCCCTTCTTGCTCCAAGGATACCAGCGAAGTGTGCACTTGGGAGAATTCGGGGCACTAACGCGCACCCCTGTGGCTGACCGTGAGAGTAAAGTCTAGGGCGACAGGTGGACTCTCAGGACCTTGGCCAGTTCACTGTGAAAGCGGAGCAGGTGGCTTCCTGCTGCTGACAGCAAGGGTGGCCAGTAAGAAGGAGGTGGGCCTCCTCGGCACAGGACCGGCCATGATTTCCCAGGGGCAAGAGGGCTGTTTCTACATGGGATGGGCCCAGGTACAGGGACCAGGGCTCTGGCTCTAGTGCATGATGGAACCCCCAGCGGTGAGCCGTGTAGCTTGGGTTGGCCTGGAATTCTAGACAATCCTCTGGCCTCAGTCTCGGCCTCTGTATTTGATTTTGGGACTCTCCCTTCACCCCCAGGGTTTGAACCTGGCACCGCATGCATGGTAGCTCTGCCTCTGCGGAGTACCTGAGGGGAAGCTGCAAGTTGCTCGCCCTGAAGCCCCTTTGTAGCAGAATCCCCACTGGCTGTAACCACTCACCTCAACCTGAGTCCGACCTTATTCTATTTTATTTATTTTGTTCGTTTGTTCGTTCATTCATTTGTTTTTTCGAGACAGAGTTTTTCTGTAGCTTTGGAGCTTGTCCTGGAACTCACTCCTAGACCAGACTGGCCTTGAACTCACAGAGACGCACCTGTCTCTGCCTCCCAAATGCTGAGATTAAGGGTGTGTGAGATTTTTTGTTTGTTTTTGGCCTGAGTCCTATCTTAAGGGACTGTAGGGTGACCTCATTTATATCTGTGTGGTGTGTACGGATAGTGTCTTGTAGCAGCCCCCTGGTGGTTCCCAGCTTACAAGTATCACTTCCCAGAACAACTGCCAATTCCTGGCCATGGTCTGAGTGAAGGAATCCGTCTTTAGAGCCACTCCTACCAAAGAGAGTGTGGGCCTGTATGATTAGTGCACAAGGCCTCCCTGTTCCCGCTCTTCAGGGACACTTTCCCGGCCCACAGAGGCCCACTTGCCATGGGTTTAATGCTGTTCCCACAGAATGGACAGTGTGTAGGGCTCCCAGAGGAAGCACCCTGGGGGCTGGCCCAGACCAGCCCAATCCAGCTGTGACATGGGAACAGGCCATCAGCCAGGATGACCCTGTTCTGGGAGCTGGCTTCACCCTGGTTCTACTCGACGCTACTTCAAAGTGGGCAGATGGTCTACACACTACACTTTCCCCTAGCTTCCTCATTGGCCAGCTTCACAGTACCTACGTCAGAACTCAGGATGAGAGAGCTCTGGAGAGGAATCATGAGCCTGAGGTGTGGTATGGAGCACAGACTACCTAGTGCACCTGTGTGTGTGTGTGAATGTGCACACACGTGTGTATCTGAAACAGTGGTCAGGGCACGCGCACACACATGTGCACACGAGCGTATCTGAAACAGTGGTCAGTGGTTAGGGCTGCCACCCCCAAAGGGGGAAGCAGCAAAAGGACGGCAAGAGCCTTGCTCACCTGCAGAAAGGCCCTGCACTGAAGCAATGACCTCCTCCAGATCAGGCGGGACAGAGTGCTATTCTCCAGCAGCAGCAGCAGCTATGCGGGGTGATCTCAGGCTGCCTTAAGGCCTCGGTTGTCATCTGAGGTGTGAGGTGGGCCGCAGATCAGGAAAAAAAAGTAACTTAACACACGACGTCAGGTTCCTTATTGCTCACCAGGCCAAGTAACATGGATTGGGTTTGAGAAAAATATGAAGCAAATGACCTACTGGCTAATAGCAGAGGTGGTTTTTCTGCCCAGTCTCAGAGCCCAGGACAGAGTGTGCTCTGCAAAGGGTGGAACTCTCCCCCAAATCAAGGGTCTGACTTTCCTTGAGTGCTTTAGCTTTTGTCTGTCATGTTTGTGGTGAAGCACAGGCTGTCGCTGGTGCTGGCCTGGTGTGGAGGCTGACACAGCCCTGGTCTTTTTGTAAGTGATGTGGAGACCACAGAAGTGTGTCCCTAAGGAGCATGACAAAGTTGTGGTGTTAGAGCTGGGCTTTGAAGTGTAAGAGAGGAAAGGTTCTCCTAGCCAATGGGCCCGAGGAACAAAGGCCGAGCCATAAGAGGCCTAGGGGACTTCGAAAACCTGGAGCAGTCAGGGGGTCAGGTTCAGGAGTGGTCTTGGCCCCCAGCTAGAGTTGCAGCCTCACCCTGAAGGCAGTGAGGGTCATCTCATCCTCACACCCAGGAAGATACTCCCGAGGCTGGTGGGGCAGGGTGATGAGAACCGCACAGAACCCCGCAGATGAGAACCTGCCTGCTGGGGTACTGAAGTGGTGAGACCTGCCTTGAGGCAGGGGCTATGGAGAGGAGGGGCTGCGGAGCCCAGGCACCCCACACACCCCTAGCCTGGGTTGGTGCCATTTCTGGAGCTGCCCCAAATCCAGACACCAGGGCCCCTTTGCAGAAGAGCCCAGATTTTGGCCAGCTGGCCCATGGTCTGCATCCAAAGCAAACAGGAAGAGGTTGCAGAGGGCTGGGCAGAACCTAGCTCTTTGTTTGGAGACCGGATTAGCCGAATGGACTTGTGGGTTAGCCTGCTGTTCAGGTAGGAGGGAGCTGCAGGACCAGTTGTGGATGTACTGAAGGGGTATGATGTGGGGGTGGGGGGGGCACAGCCCTCAGGGGGTTAACCTGCTGGCTCTGTCAAGCTGGCTCTGTTGCAGGAAACCTGGGACCCAAGTGAAACCTTTTGAGGCCTCAACCCTTATTTCTGCAAGCTGGGGCACCATTATATGCCTTTCCGACGCGGAGTTTCCTACTAATGCCCTTTGGCTGTCAGCCCAGGCCTCATAGGTAGAGCTGCTGCTCACTGCAACGTCCACTCAGGCCCCAGATCGAGGCTCTGCCAGGCAAGCTGAGGGGAAAATACTATTATTTACTCATGGGGGAAGCTATAACTAAGAGAGAGAGAGAGAGAGAGAGAGAGAGAGAGAGAGAAGGAAAGAAGGAAAGAAGGAAAGATTTATGTTGCTTTCCTTGGGGAGTTAAGAAAAGAATTTGGGTCGGGCGATGGTGGCGCACGCCTTTAATCCCAGCACTCTGGAGGCAGAGGCAGGCGGATCTCTGTGAGTTCAAGACCAGCCTGGTCTACAAGAGCTAGTTCCAGGACAGGCTCCAAAGCTACAGAGAAACTCTGTCTCGAAAATAAAATAAAATAAAGAATTTGGTCAGAAAAGAAAGGGAGAGAATCTGAAGAATGTCCCCACAGGCCCTGACTTTCCTCAGGGAATCCAGCCCAAAGGTGGATCCAGTGGGTTTTTGTTTTGTTTTGTTTTGTTTTTGATGGTGTGCTGGGAATTGTCTTTATTCTGCTCTGCCTGTTCCACCTCTTGGGCTGGGTGAATCCTTTGTTGAGTCTCACCTCAATCCTCGTGTTTCTCTGTTTCCATCTGTGCTTGCAGGATCAGTGTCACCAGCCTTCCCCTCTGCCCTCTGGGTGCCAAGCCTGCAGTCTGCCCTTCAGCCCCAGCTCAGCCTGGTCCCCCCACTTCTCGGCCACCTGCAGCCTGTAACCAGACACTGTTTGCTCCCAGCAGGCACCCCCCTACACACATACATACACACGCATACACACACACACGCACACGCACACACACACACACACACGCGCGCGTGCGTGCGCGCGCGCGCGCCAGCTTTGCACACTGTTTTGTTTCTGATCTCTCCAGAGCCTGGGCAGAGAATACCCCTATCTAAGCTAGTGACCTTCGCCTGAGCCCTGGTTAATATTTGTCCAAACCAAAGACAGTAGGGCTCTGCCCCCTGGGAGATATAAATTGGCCCAGGGCTGCTCTGCTTCTCGCTTGGCCTGAGCCACTCCGAGCTCCCTGCCCACCAGCATCATGGCCAAGGGTTTCTACATTTCCAAGACCCTGGGCATCTTGGGCATCGTGCTGGGTGTGGCAGCTGTGTGCACGATCGTAGCCCTGTCAGTGGTCTATGCTCAGGAGAAGAACAAGAACGCGGAGAACTCTGCCACAACTCCCACACTGCCTGCCACTACCACCCCAGCCACCACTGTAGATGGAAGCGAACCTTGGAACAAGTACCGCCTACCCAAGACTCTGATACCTGACTCCTACCGGGTGACTCTGAGACCGTACCTCACCCCCAACCCACAAGGCTTGTACATCTTTCAAGGTAACAGTACTGTCCGCTTTACCTGTAACGTGGCCACAAATGTCATCATCATCCACAGCAAAAAGCTCAACTACACCCAAAAGGGAAACCACTTGGTGGAACTGCGAGCCCTGGGTGGTTCCCCAGCACCTAACATCATCAAAACTGAGCTGGTAGAGCGTACCGAGTACCTGGTGGTGCACCTGAACGGACAGCTGGTAGCAGGCCATCAGTATGAGATGGATAGCCAGTTCCAGGGGGAGCTGGCCGACGACCTGGCTGGCTTCTACCGCAGCGAGTACGAGGAGGATGGCGTCAGGAAGTAAGTTCCCGGGCCATGGGCACAGGCTGAGAGAGGGCTGCATCTGGGGATCATGGAAAGGAGGGGCTGGAGCCTTCAGGAGACTTCAGCAGACCCGTTGCTCATCTGTGGTGGCAGGGGCAGTTACTGGGGGTACTGTCTTCCAGCCTCTAGGGATATGGGGTGGAAGGGTTCCTTGGACGGACAGGAATACTGAGAGGAGAGAAAATTGCTTGGGACGACTCTCAGCTCACACAGGCATGGAGCCTGCCAGGGTTTGGATGGAGTCTGGAAACTTTGGTTTCCCATGGCAGCATGTTGACCAGGGTCTTGAGGTTGTTTGGAGTTGGGTGAAGGGCAGTAAGCAGGTTGGGCCAGCCTTCCATGCACCCCTTCTTCTGTACCCTAAAGATATTCCTCTAGCACCCTTTCTAACACGCTGATTTGGACAGAGTGGTGGCCACAACGCAGATGCAGGCTCCTGATGCCCGGAAATCCTTCCCCTGCTTCGATGAGCCAGCCATGAAGGCCATATTCAACATCACACTCATCTACCCCACTGGCTACACAGCCCTGTCAAACATGAATCCCAAAGGTGAGTCTGGCTGCCCTGGGTTTGCTCTGGACTGGAGTGCAGAGCTGGAAGCCCACACACTCACGTGTCCTATGCACAGAGACAAAGCCCTTTTCGGAAGAGTCTGGATGGACCATCACGGAGTTCTATCCCACCCCCAAGATGTCCACATACCTGCTGGCCTACATTGTGAGCGAATTCACTTATGTACAACTGGAGAACCCATCCGGTACTGTTCAGGTATGGAGCTGGGCTTTTATGTTCTGGGATGGTCCTGCCCTGACTTGAGGGACCTTTCTAGATCTTCTCGGTACTAGCTTCTGAGTTATTAGGTTCTTGAGTCCCAGCTCCGAGCGACCCCAGGCGCTCTTAAGCACTTCCCAGTCTGTGTTTGGAACACAGAAATCACAATTCCTCTTTGGTAAGGAAGCTCCTGACCACAGGAGACAGACGTTTACTGGCTTTTGGGGTTTTTTTTCTACACTATTAGGGACTGAACCTGGGGCCTTGTACATACCATACAAGTCTTCTACCTCTGATTTATATCACCAACTCCTTTTTAAAACCCATTTTAAAATGTATTTTTAATATGTGTATGAGTGTGTGTCTGGATGTGGTACGTGCACAGGAGTACAGGTGCCTGTGGAAACCAGAAGGAAGTGTCCAATCCCTTGGAGGCGGAGTTACAGTGGTTATGAACCCCCAGACTTGGGTATTAGGAACCAAACCTGGGTCCTCTGGAAGAGCAGCAAGCACTCGAGCTCTAAACCTCTAAACTCTCTGCCTCTTAAGTTTTTTTCTTTTCTTTTTTTTTTTTTTCTGAGACAGTCTTTGAGTCTTCTGACTATCCTAGAACTCACTCTGTAGACCAGGCTGGCCTTAAACTCACAGAGATCCACCTGCCTCTGCCTCCTGAGGGCTAGGATTAAAGTTGTGTGCCACTATGCCTGGCCCCCTTTTTTAAAATTTAAAACAAATTTGTTTTATGTGTATGGGTGTTTTGCCTACATATAAGCGTGGGTACCACTGCCATGTCTAGTGTCCTTGGAGGCCAGGAGAAGGCATCAGATTCTCTGGAACTGGAGTTACAAATGGTTGCTACCTGTTTTGTGGGTGCTGGGAATTGAACCCAGGTCTTCTGGAAGAAGAGCAAGTGCTCTTAACCACTGTCTTCGTTAGGGTTACTATTGCTATGATGAAACAACATGACCAAAAAGCAAACTGTGGAGGAAAGGGGTTGTTTGGCTTACACTTTTACATCTTAGTCCATTACTGAAGGAAGCCAGGAAGGAACTCAAGCAGGGCAGGAACCTGGAGTCAGGAGTGGATTCAGAGGCCATGGAAGGGTGCTGCTTATTGGCTTGCTCCTCATGGCTTGCCCAGCCTGCTTTCTTATAGAACCCAGGACCATCACAATGGGCTGGACCTGCTCACATCAATCACTAACTAGGAAAATGCTTACATTTTGCCTACAGTCCAATGAGAAATGGAGGCATTTTCTTAATTGGGCTTCCTTCTCTTAGATGACTCTAACCTGTTGAGTTGACATAAAATCAGCCAGCACAGCCATCGAGCTATCTCTCTACCCTTCTGCTTTAAATTTTGAGATAGGGTCCACTAATGTACACAGGCTGACCTTGAATTTGTGACACTCCTGCTCCTAAGTGTTGAGTTTATCGGCATATGATACCATGGTTGGTTTTCTCTTTAATCTAATTGGTCCCCATCCTGACTTATCAGGGACCTCCAATTCATTGGATCCTGGGACTCTACTTACTCTCCTTAAAATCTCAAACCTGGGGCTGGAGAGATAGCTCAGTGATTAAGAGCACTGCCTGCTCTTCCAAAGGTCCCAAGTTCAATTTTCAGCAACCACATGGTGGCTCACAACCATCTGTAATGAGATCTGGTGCCTTCTTCTGGCTGCAGAAATACATACATGCAGGCAGAACACTGTATACATAATAAATAGATAAAACCTGATCTCTCCCTCTCTCTCGTTCTGCAGGTTCAAATCTGGGCTCGGCCCAGTGCCATCAGAGCGGGCCATGGTGATTATGCCCTGAATGTGACAGGCCCCATCCTAAACTTCTTTGCCCAACATTATGATACACCCTACCCTCTACCTAAGTCTGGTGAGTGACCATGGGGCCTTCACGGGGAGGTGACCATGGGGCCTTCATGGGGAGGTAATGCTAGGATCTCCGCCCATGCCCGCCTGCTCTCACGTGTCTCCCCTCCACAGACCAGATTGCCCTGCCCGACTTCAACGCTGGAGCCATGGAGAATTGGGGGCTAGTGACCTACCGTGAGAATGCCCTGCTCTTCGATCCCCTGGACTCCTCCATCGGCAACAAGGAGCGGGTGGTCACCGTGATTGCTCATGAGCTGGCCCATCAGGTAAATAGATGGCTGTGGGAGAAGCAAGAAGAAGCAGAGGCCTTGGAGTGTCCAGCCCTCACTTGGCCTGTACCTGGTAGACAGTCAGCCAGGCTTAGCTGCTATTAGTGATGGTAAGGCCTGTGACACTCAGCAGACTCGTGTGTCCCCTGCAGTGGTTCGGCAACCTAGTGACAGTGGCCTGGTGGAATGACCTGTGGCTGAACGAGGGCTTTGCCTCCTACGTGGAATATCTGGGTGCTGACTATGCAGAGCCCACCTGGAATCTGGTAAGCCACCATCCTGGGAATTGGCCCGAGGTGGGAGTGGACTGCCTAGGATACCCCTCCTGGGCCAGTTGCCTGATGGCATTTGGGGACTCTGCAGAAAGACCTCATAGTGCAGAATGAAGTGTATCGTGTGATGGCCGTGGATGCACTCGCCTCCTCCCACCCGTTATCCAGTCCTGCCGATGAGGTCAACACGCCGGCCCAGATCAGCGAGCTGTTTGACAGCATCTCCTACAGCAAGGTGCTTCTTGGAGGCCCTGAGAGTCACAGGGTGTGGGGAGGGATCTATCCTGCAGGGAACCTCAGCATAGCCGCTGCTCTGGGGATGTCTGTCCCTGGTAGCTTGGCCTTCTGAGCTTCCTCTCTTCCTACCCCAGGGAGCCTCAGTCCTCAGGATGCTGTCCAGTTTCCTGACAGAGGACCTGTTCAAGAAGGGCCTTGCAGTGAGTATCGCTCTAGGTGGTCCCTCGGCATGGCGGCTTTTCCCCCAGCACAGCCCTCCACAGCCCTGGGGATCACCTAGCCCTTACCAAGGTTTGTTGTTCTCCAGTCTTACCTCCATGCCTTCGAATACTCCAACACCGTTTATCTGGACCTGTGGGAGCATCTGCAGAAGGTGGGTAACATGCCTTCTCCACTAAGGTCCTAAGGGGACAGCATGTGTGAGACCATGCCCAGCTTCCCTGTTCACAGTCCAGGCAAACTGTTGGGAGCCTCAGTGGTTCATCTATAAACTGGGTGTAAAGATAAATCCTTAAAGGCAGTGGGTAAGGCCCCTGCTCACTGTTCACTTTGGGTTCTTTTTCTTCATTTTTTTAGTGGGTTCTCTTCAGTTGGTTCTCTCATCTTGTTTCTGAGGCAGGGTCTTTTTCTGCATGAACAGTCGACTCCCTGTCTCACTTACAAGTGCTGGGATTACAGATGCTTGCCAACACATTCAGCTTTTTATTGAGACAGAGTTTCTCTGTGTAGCCCTGGCTGTCCTGGAACTTTCTCTGTAGACCAGACTGGCCTTGAACTCAGAGATCCTCCTGTATTTGTCTCTATAGCTTGTCCTACTGGCCTGTGCCACCAGAGCTGGCCTACTTGATGTTCTTGCATAGACACGCCATGGTGAAGCTTGTGAGATCACTTAGTGCTGAGAACATGAGCTTCAGGGCACCTATCTCCAAACTACTACCTCTATCCCCCTTCCTCTTCCTTATCTCCTTTTCCTCTTTCTTCTGCCAGAACTTTGGCACCAACCATTTAACTGACTCAGCACTCCCGGCTGCCCTGTGCTCTGTGGCCCTCCCTACCTGGTACACCCTTGCACACACCAGCACCTTGGATGCAAACTCCGACCCTCTGTCCCTCCCTGCCTCACTTTCCATCCCTCAGCTTCCAAGCCCTCCTGTTTTCCCCAGAGGCCCCTCTCCTCCCTGCCTCTCCTTAGGGCTGGAGTCCACCCTGCACATGAACCCCCATCACTTTGTCTCCCCCCCACTTGCCTCCCAGTCTTGTGTAGACTTTGTCCACCCCTCCTCAGCCCCACCCACCACTCCTCATCAGTGTTTCCTCCTGAGCCCTAGGGCCCCTATCATCCTGCCCAACCACTCCCTGACTGTGGCAGTGTCCATCTGGGCCCCAAGGCCATCTCTCTGGGGAGGGGACGTCACAGAGTTACAGTTGGGCAGGTTCCAGTTCCCCCTCCTCCTGCCCCCAGCCTGTCTATTAACCACCCCACATTCTGGCAGCTGACTGGGTGGTGCTTCATTGGATCCTTCCTCCACCACTTGCCTTCGTGCCTTCCAGCAAAGCTTGCTCCCTTTCCCTGTCTTCTGTGGCTCCAGACTTCCCCTGCCTCAGCTTTCCCTTTTGACAGCCACGCCTCTACCCTGCTTTCAGGGATTCGCGGTTTTATTTTTTTTTTAAATTTTTTAAAAATATTTATTTATTATGTATACAATATTCTGTCTGCATGCATGCTGCAGGCCAGAAGAGGGCACCAGACTCCATTACAGATGGTTGTGAGCCACCATATGGTTTTTGGGAATGGAACTCAGGACCTCTGGAAGAGCAGGCAATGCTCTTAACCTATGAGCCATCTCTCCAGCCCTGCGGTTTTAGTTACTAGCAGATGTCTTTGGCTTTTTGCTGTGACTATAAAAGTGGTGCCCATGCATTTGGAAAAGGATGAAAAAGACCCACGAAGACAGTAACAAGGGCTGTGGCATCCCCATTCCCTCCTATTAGGGGACCTTTCCTCCACACCCCACAAGCCCTGTCCCTTGTTCCTGCCTGTGACACTGGGCACTGCTTTATCTCTCTCTGTTCTCAACATTCAGAAGGTGTCCTGGCCATGGGTCACAACCAGGTGTGTCATCAGTGTGGTGTCAGCTAGAGGCAGAGAGGTTCTCCAGCTCACTCAGCACTGGGCAGACAAGGAGAGGCAGCGCTGATTGGGGTCCCTTGTCCTCCGCTCCCTTGCCCTGTATTAGGGGCACTATAGACTTAGCCTGGCCATAAGGCTGCCTGGGTGTTAGGCACAGGAGGACGATGGTTTGTCAGCCACACTGTGTCCCTCAAACAGGCCGTGAACGACCAGACAGTAGTCAAACTCCCAGGCAACGTGAGTACCATCATGGACCGCTGGATTCTACAGATGGGCTTTCCCGTTGTCACTGTGAACACCGCTACAGGAGAAATCTCCCAGGAACACTTCCTCCTTGACCCTGAGTCCACTGTTACCCGCCCCTCTCAGTTTGAGTGAGCACATAGGGTCACGAAGGCTTGGGTCCCAGGGAAGGGTGGACCATAGGAAGGAGATCATGTGGGGTCAGGAGCACGGTGACACTTGGGATCCGTGTTGGGCCATCACTGGGCACCTGAGAGAGGTACCCATGGTGTTCCCAAGAGTTGCCATCGTCACTGACTGGCCTCTGGGTCTCTCACTGCAGCTACACATGGATCGTGCCCATTCCGTTTCTCAAAAGTGGAGCGCAGCAGCGGCAGGAGGGTCACTACTGGCTGGAAACCAAGAGAAGTAATCCAGCCCTATCTTATCTGCTGGCTCCTGGCCCTTGTTCTGGGAGGGGGGTTATGGGAGAGCTGAGGGAAGATTACCTTCATTATTTCACTCCACAAATGGAGCTGATGTCTTTGTTTCCATTTCACCTTGCTTCTGTGTAGTCTTGGGCAAGTTACCGACCCTCTCTGGCCTTTACTTTCTTTTCTGTCAAGTTGACTACATCTGCTCCATTGAGCTGTGTGAGAATTCCAGGAGGGAATTCCTGTGAAACAGGACAGTGATTGGCAGGTACAGTAAGCTGCCTTATATGACCAGGCACTGAAGAGTCAAAGGTGAAGGCCAATCACAGGCAGCGGAAGGAAAGCAAGCAATTAGAAACATCCAGGAACTCTCTGACAGTCTGACTGTAGATTCTGGCTGGAATGACCAGGTGGTGGGCCAGGAATCAGGATCAGGTTCCATGCAAAGGCCCAGAAAGCGAACTATGTCCTACACAGGCTACCAGTGGAAATTAGCTAGGCGAGGCAGAGACTGAGAGGAGGCTCAGGGTCCTTCATGGCTTTCTGGGCACACTCAGTCCTGCCCTTGGCCCTGCTCCACAGGCCAGAATGCTGACTTCAGGAGCTCTGGAGCCAATGAGTGGGTCTTGCTGAACCTGGGTGTGACGGGCTACTACCAGGTGAACTACGATGAAGGCAACTGGAGGAAGATTCAGAATCAGCTGCAGTCAGACCTCACTGTAGGTATCCCTCCTGCCCTGCCCCCCATGGGATGATGGGTCATCAGACCGCAGGGTCTGCCCCTTCCTGTAAGCCCAGAGTCACACAGTTTCCTTTTCTAGGCTATCCCTGCCATCAATCGTGCGCAGATTATCCATGACTCCTTCAACCTGGCCAGGTGAGTGCCCTCCTGGCTAAGGCAGAAAGAAGCCTGTGACTGGACCTATGTCCTCCCTGCTGTTCTAGATGCCTACCAGGTGCTGTGCCAGGGGCCCCTAGAGCAGCTTCCTGAGGTCCCCACATGGCCATTTCAAGGAGAAGGATTTTGACAGTGTAAGAACACTTTACTCAGCGGGGCGGTGGTGGCGCACGCCTTTAATCCCAGCAACTCGGGAGGCAGAGGCAGGTAGATCTCCGTGAGTTCGAGGCCAGCCTGGTCTACAAAAGCAAGAGCTAGTTCCAGGACAGGCACCAAAACCACAGAGAAACCTTGTCTCAAAAAACAAACAAAAAAAGATGGAAAGCAACCAAGGAAGACATATTTGACACTGGCCTCTAGCATACCTGCAAGCACACATCCACAGGAACACATACATACACATGTATACACACACACACAAACACGTAATATATACAAATTAAAAACAAAAGGCAAAGAAAAGTTCAGCAGAGTTATCAACAAGGCTCTGAATTGGGCCTCTTTTGTGTTGTGTGGCTTCGGGGAAGTCAGTACACACCTTTAATCCTGAATTTGGAAGGTAGGCGGATCTCTGAGTTCAAGGCCAAGTCCAGCACGTTCTGCTTACTGAGTTCCAAGACAGCCAGGGCTACTAGAGAGACTCTGTCTCAAAAAGCAAACAAACAAACAAAAAAGACAAAACAATTTTCGTAGTAAAAACGAAACGAGCCGGGCAGTGGTGGCGCACGCCTTTAATCCCAGCAACTCGGGAGGCAGAGGCAGGCGGATCTCTGTGAGTTCGAGACCAGCCTGGTCTACAAGAGCTAGTTCCAGGACAGGCTCCAAAACTACAGAGAAACCCTGTCTCGAAAAACCAAAAAAAAAAAAAAAAAAAAAAAAAAAAAAAAAAAAAAGAAACAGAATAAGGATAATAGACGAGAAAACATGACTGGCGGGTCCCAATTGGTGGCACCACAGAGCACCTGTGTCATCCCTTCCCCCGTGGAAAATATGAAGTCCTCAGGGGACCCAGGCTTAGGTGTGGGGCGGCTTAGGTGTGTCCTTGAGAACCTGAGCTAGGGTCCCCAGGGTGTAGTTGGGTTGGGTGGGTGCTGACCTGGGCCTTCATGTCTGTCTCCAGTGCTCAAAAGATACCCGTCACTCTGGCGTTAAGCAACACCCTCTTCCTCTACAACGAAACAGAATACATGCCCTGGGAGGCTGCCCTGACCAGCCTTAGCTACTTCAAGCTCATGTTCGACCGCTCCGAGGTCTACGGCCCCATGAAGGTATGAGTTGCTACTTCCCGTGTCCGAGTTAGACCACTGGGAAGGTTCATTACCTGTCCAAGCTCTTTCAAGAAAATAAGGAGGTGTGGGGAAGATGACAGAGTCAGGAAGATCTAACAGGAACAGGCACAGAAGTTAGAAGAGTAGACAACCCCCGCCCTCCCCACTGCGATGAAGACAACATTCCTAGCAAAATCTGCCCATTGGAAATATGGGAAGTTAATGCTTTGGGGAAGCCTGGAGAGGACTTTGCACTGGAAGATAAAGGCTGGTCTTACCAGGCTGGCCTTGAACTCACAGAGATCCTCCTCCTACCTCTGCCCCCCAGTGCTGGGATGGGCAAAGGAATTCTTAATGCATCTGGTAGCTGGGGTTGGCTGGGTTACACTGTGAAGCTCATTTGGTGTGGAGTCTTAGCTCTGTAGACCACATTTAAGAGACTTGTTGTTGGGATTTGATTGATTGTGTGTGAAGGCCAGAGGTCAATACCATTTTGCTAGCCTGTGTTTGTCCACTCAGAGCTGGGCTCCCAGGCATGTGCTTACATGGGATCGGGGACTTGAGTTCAGGTCTTCATGCTTGGGTAGCAAGCACTTTAGCTCCCTCCACCTTGTTGTTTGGGCTCACTGACCCTGCAGCCCAGCTCCTAGCCCTGGGATTGCAGGTGTTGGTGATATGTCTGTGTGTGTTTGTCTGTGTGGTGTGTCTGCGTGTGTGTGTGTGTATTCTGGAAAGTGAACTAACTCATGTTTGCATAGCAAACCCTTGATTAACTGAACAAACTCCTTAGCCCAGTTTTTGGCTGTTTTTTTTTTGTTTGTTTGTTTGTTTTTTTTTTTTTGTCTGTCTCTTTGTCCATTTTTTAGATATTCTTTGTTGGTTGGCCGGGAATTCTTTTTTGTTTTGTTTTGTTTTTCTGAGATAGGGTTTCTCTGTAGCTTTGGAGCCTGTCCTGGAACTAGCTCTTCAGGCTGGCCTTGAACTCACAAAGATCAACCTGTCTCTGTCTCCCAATTGCTGGGATTAAAGGCAATGCGCCACCACTGCTCGATTGGCCTGGAAGTCTTTAAAACTTTTACATTTTTTAACTTTTTAAAATATGTACATATGTATGTATGTATGTATGTATTTATTATGTATACAGTGTTCTGTCTGCATGTGTGCTTACATGCCAGAAGAGGGCACCAAATCTCATTATAGATGACTGTGAGCTACCATGTGGTTGCTGGGAATTGAATTCAGAACCTCTGGAAGAGCAGCCAGTGCTCTTAACCTCTGAGCCATCTCTCCAGCCCTAATTTTTAATTTTTTTGTGTGTGGATGAGTGTTTCTCCTGTATCTATGTTTGCACACCATGTGTGTGCCTGGTGCCCAAAGAGACCAGAAGGTCTGGGGCCCCTGGAACTAGATTTACAGATGGTTGTGAGCCAACATGTGGATGCTAAGAATTAAATCTGGGTCCTTTGGAAGAGCAGCAAGTGCTCTTAACCTCTGAACCATCTTTTTTTTTTTTAATTTTTTATTTAAAAGTAACCCACTATCGGCTTAGGATAGCAAATGCCTATTTTGGTAAACGGAACTTTTTTGTGCTTGCCCAGGCTCCTCTCAAACTGGTGCTGTAGCACAATCACAATACCGGCATGCAGCATACGCCTGGGGTCTGGATGCCCTTCGGAGCCAGCTGGAGTGCTGTGTGGGCACCTGTGTTCCCCTGTCTAGGAAGGTTTTGTGGACTGATCCCATAGGAGGGTCGTGCCTTTCCTGGAGTCTTCTGCCACTTCCAGGACTGTTGCTCGGGCCATGCAGTACGTCTTCTGATTGACAGGCCCTCTGCTTCCTGAATCCCATGGCTCCCTTGTCTATTTTCTCTCAGGGAGTACATGGTCTTGAGAGTTTGGAGGAAGGATTTGTGAGGGCAGGTTTTCTCAGGCAAGTTGTCAGGAATGTCTTTTGTTCTGCTTTCACACTGGGCTGAGAATTTATCTGGCTTTGGAAAGTCTCTGAACTGGAAATCATGACCCAGAATGTCTAAGGTCTTGATCTGTTGACACCAGGATTCTCATGTTACAGTTGAAAAGTCCAGAGCTTTTGTCATTTCCAGTTCTTGGTATGTGACCAGTTTTCCTTCCTGGAACCTTCTGGGCTCTTCTAGCAGTCCTGGTGGGCTAGTCTGGGTCTTGCCAGCTTGGACACAGATGTGCTGTATCAGAACTATTTTATTGTCCCTCTGAAATTCTTCCCTGTCTGTTGTCCATTTCCTGTCTTTCTGGAAGTCTGAGTAATTCCACTTCTTTCTCTTGCTTTGGCCTGGTTTTTATGTCCCTCCTACTTTCCAGCTTGAGGACTCTTCACTCTCCCCCAGGGACGGCCCCCTCACCTGCGGGATGCTTCCCTCTCATTCCTGTCCCATACAGGGGCTTCTTGTCTCTCTTGAGTCTTTTATTACAGGGCTTGCGGAGTCTCCTTTTCCCTCTGTTGACTTGTTTCCTCTAAGCTTTCTGTTTGTTTTGGTCTCTTGTCAAGCTGGAGGCTGAGAGGCAATTTTGGATATGAGGGTGAGGCAATAAACAGTGACCCGAAGCCGTACCAGAACTGGAACAAAAAGACGTGGTGGTGCTCACCCTTATCCCAGCACTCAGGAGACAGAGGTAGAAGGATCTGAGTGTGAGTCCAGCCTAATCTACAGAGCAAGTTTCTGGCTAGTCAGGGCTATATAGTGAGATGATGATGATGATAATGGTGGTGGTGATAAAGACAACAAAAAGGGATTGGAAGCACCATAGGAAGGTGGAAATAGCCATAGGTCCTAAATGTTCTCTCAGGATTGTCTGGCTTCCCTGGCATGGCCTCTGTTGTGTGTAGTGAAGTTAGTAGTGCCCACTCTTGGGGGACAAAGTGGCAACTGATGGAAACCTCTGCCTCTGATCTCCTTGTAACCCTTCTCACTGTGTGTGGTGCCCAGCACCCCCAGCCTCTCTAGTCTAGCATCTCCTGTGAATGAGGGCAGGTTACCACTGGACACAGGGACCAGGCTGGAGCTTGACTTAAAGACTTGGATTTCAGCCTCTAGTACTCACATCCCTAGTCTTACCCCAGGTTTGTTTTTTTTTTTTTTTTTTTGATTTTCGAGACAGGGTTTCTCCGTAGCTTTTGGTTCCTGTCCTGGAACTAGCTCTTGTAGACCAGGCTGGCCTCGAACTCACAGAGATCCACCTGCCTCTGCCTCCCGAGTGCTGGGATTAAAGGCCTGCGCCACCACCGCCCGGCTCCCCAGGTTTTTTAATTTTGAGCCTCATTACAGCAAGTTCTTTTTATGTTTTTTCTTCATTTTTTTCTTCCTTCCTTCCTTCCTTCTTTCTTTCTTTTTCCTCCTTCTTCCCCCTCCCCCTTCTCCTCCTCCTCCTCCTCCTCCTCCTCCTCCTCCTCCTCCTTCTCCTCCTTCTTCTTCTGAGACAGAATTTCTCTGTGTATCCTTGTCTGTCCTAGAACTTGCTATGTAGACCAGGCTGGCCTGTCTCCCAAGTGCTGGGATTAAAGATGTGTACCACCACCGCCTGACTAGCAAGTCCTTTTCTGCAAATCTGGGCCTACCTCCTTCCTCCCTTCCCAGTGGCCCTGTGTTGGCATCACAGCCACCACTATCTCTCCTGTAAGAACACATGTTCTTGGGGAGGGGAGAGGTTGATTTTTTTTTACCATCAAAGAATGGCTTCAGTATGTCATAGAAGTCAGTCTGCCACATCAAATCAGAATCTGCAAAGGACTTTAATAACAGTCTGGGGCTCACATGAGTTAGGTAAAAAAGAACAGTGCACAGAATTAGCACAGCTAAGAAAGGAATGCAAGAATAAGAGGGGATGAACTTGCTGGCTTGGAAATTGTAGTTTGGGTCTGTCCCCTGTGTTTGCACATCTGTGTTCCCTAAATTGCTCACAGTAAGGTCAGGAAGGGAGACCTGGTGTTACAGTGATGGGTGGATGACGTGGGTTAGGACTGACCGGATTTGAGGAGAAAGAACACCAATTCCGCCATCTGAAACCTAGACTGAGGTGCTGGCCTTGGGCGCAGCCTGACCTCTCCCTGACTGCCAGTACCCACTCATGCCTGCAGAGACTGCCAGCCCAGACAGGTGGACCTGGATCCTTGACACTGCTCCTATATTCTTTCCCCAGAAATACCTGCTGAAGCAAGTTGAGCCCCTCTTCGAGCACTTCAGAATTAAAACCAGCAATTGGACCATTCGCCCAGATACACTCATGGAACAGTAAGTGTGACTTTTGTGAGCCCGGATGTCCCACATGACCTGAGAGCTGAGAACGCCGCTTGGAAGTGTTCTCTGGATCCTTCCATGTCTGACCACCAGCCAGGGAAAGAGTCCTTCTAAGAGCAGGGAGCTCTCTTGAGAACCCACCTGGCCTGTGGGTTCTTTTTGCGTTTTGGGTTTTGTGGGTTTCTTTGTCACAGGTCTTTTTAAAAGATTTATTTATTTATTATGTATACAACATTTCTTCCATGTGTGCTTGCATGCCAGAACAGGGCACCAGGTCTCATTATAGATGGCTGTGAGCCACCATGTGGTTGCTGGGAATTGAACTCAGGACCTCTGGAAGAGCAGTCAGTGCTCTTAACCTCTGAGCCATCTCTCCAGCCCCTGTCACAGGTCTTATGTGGCTCAGGCTGGCCTGGAACTTTTGATCCTCCTGCCTCAGGCTCTCAAGTGGTAGAATTACAGGTGTGCATCACCACCCTCAGTTTGTACAGTGTTGGGATTAAACCCGGAGTTTCTTGAATGCTGCAAACATCTACAAACCTCCCCAGTCCTAACCTCTTTAACAAAGACTCAAACCAAAAGCCTGAAGCTACCTTGGGACCCCAGAAATCACAGGCAGGAAGAAAGCAGGAAAATCCCCAGAGTCAGGTGGACCAGAGTCTTAGGTCCCTTGCTTTGTGGTGTTGAGAGGACAGTCTTGGTGGGGGTCCGGGCAGGATGTGCTAACCACGTGTCACCCCTGGGACAGGTACAATGAAGTTAACGCCATCAGCACGGCCTGCTCCAGTGATCTCCAAGAGTGCAAGGACCTGGTTTCTGGACTTTTTAATGAGTGGATGAGAAATCCTGCTGTTAACCCGTGAGTGTTCCCCGGCTCCTTCCCTGCCAGTCCTCATCTGCCCCCGGCCAGTGACTGGCTACTCCTTGCTCCCTGTTCTTCACTGATCCTTTTTCCCAACTCCCCCACGCCAGGATCCACCCCAACCTTCGGTCTACTGTCTACTGCAATGCCATTGCTTTTGGCGGCGAGGATGAGTGGGACTTTGCCTGGGGACAGTTCCGGAACGCCACTCTGGTAAACGAGGCAGACAAACTCAGAACAGCCCTGGCCTGTAGCAAGGATGTGTGGATTTTGAACAGGTGAGGACATGGCCCCACCCACAGACTCAGCCAAGCCTCTGTGTTTCTCTTCCTACAGCCTCGCAGCTTTGTGCTGGTGAGGACAGAGAAGCTCAGACGCAAAACAATTAATAGCCCAATGACCACAGGTTTAGTAAGTGACTGAGCCAAGACTGGAATACAGGGTTATGGTCAGGGTCGGATCCCTAACTGCTGTGGGCTTTGCAGTGAGCATCAGGGCAAGGTCTCCTGCACCTCAGTGAGGTCTCTCCCACCCTGGTAGCCCTCTCAGAGGCCAGACCTGCAAAGTTCCAGAGACCACTGCTAGAGATTGTTTCTGATCCACAGGACACTCATGACCCCTAGACCCATGAGTGCTCCCTCAGTGTTAGTGACAAACCATTCAACTGAGTCTTGTGTCACATCAAAATGAGGAGTGGCCACCCTACTTGGTGTGAGGGCTGCAATGGCTGGAACTTCTTCCTTCCTTCATCTGTTCTCAGGGAGATGTAGGGCGGCACATGCTTGCATGGCCAGTGACCCTGTGACCCTGTGACTCAGTTTCCCACCTGCAGAGGGAGTAGCACCCGGGTTGCCCCACAGCCCTTCACACATCAAAGGGATGTTGAGCAATGCTAGAGGCTGTGATTGGGTGTGAGACATCGGGCTCCCAATCCTGTATCATGGCCCCACAGTTCTCAAGTGGTTCCTACCCTTGCCTCCTGCCACAGGTACCTGAGTTACACTCTGAATTCTGAGTACATCCGGAGGCAGGATGCCACCTCCACCATCATCAACATTGCCAACAATGCAGTGGGGCAATCTCTGGTTTGGGACTTTGTCCGGAGCAACTGGAAGAAGCTCTTTGAGGAGTGAGTCTGATTGGGGTGTTGAACTACCAATGGCCAAGGCTGAGGTTGCCGGGGTGATCCACACGCCTCCCCACCCCTGTGCTGGACTTTCTTACTTAGAAAACTGTAGCCAGGGGGAAAATTTTCGACAGGGACAAGGAGTCAGGGACCTACAGCCTGAGCTGTGTTCAAGACTTGGCTTCTGCATGTCCTGGCAGGGTCTCTTTGGGATCTTGGGGGGTCCATTTTGTTTTGTCTCCTTGTGTATCCTTCAAAATGGTTGTAAATTTCTATAGTTCCCTGACACTCGCAGAGATTGTCCCTTAGGTCTCTGCCCCTCCACTGCTCACACTCATCCTTCCCCCACCCCACAGCTACGGAGGAGGATCTTTCTCCTTTGCCAATCTCATCCAGGGAGTGACCCGGCGCTTCTCCACCGAATATGAACTGCAGCAGGTAAGGACCAGACCTGTCCCGTCCCAGGCTCTATTTGTCCCAGTTGAAGGTGGTAACGTCCGCTCACAGACCAAGGACCAAATAGAGAGACTTTGTATATATTAATGTTTCCATTTTTAAAAAAATCTTGAATTTTAAAATTTAGTCATCGATTGATTACCTAGGCTAACCCTTAGCTCCTAGCCTTAGTCTTCCGAATAACTAGGATTATATACTTAGATTCATTTACCTAAAGTTTGAGTTGCAATTCATGTACCATAAAATTTACCATTTTAAGTGCTTTCTAGTATATTTATAAGATTGTACAACCAGTCTTTGCCACCAGCTCCCCAAAGAAATCCTCTAGTTACTAGCAGTTCCTCCTCCTTTCTGTCCCATCCCCCTAGCTCCTGGCAATCACTCATCTACTTCACTTTTGCATTTCATAAAATAGAATCATGAAATTTCGTGACCTTTTTTTTTTTTTTTTTTTTTTTTTTTTTTTTTTTTTTTTTAGTTTTTGAGACAGGGTTTCTCTGTAGCTTTGGAGCCTATCCTGGCACTAGCTCTTGTAGACCAGGACGTGACCTTTTTTTTTAAAGCGGAATTATATAATATGTGACCCTTTCGTGTCAGGTTCCTTTCATTTAGCATCTCAGGTTTAAAAGGTTTGTTCCTGTTGTAAGACACATGGTTCCCTTGTATGGCTGAGTAGTATTCCCTTGTGTCGATGCACCACGCCTGTTCTTCCATTCCTCAGCGGATGAGCTTTTCAGTTCTTCCTTTTTTTTTTTTTTTTTTGGCCCTTATGAACAGTGCCGCTGTGAACATTTATGCACATAGTTTTATACAAACACACTTTCATTTCTCCTGGGCATTTTGCAAGAGTGGACTTGCTGGGTCATTGCTTTCCTTCACGTTTAGCTTTTTTGAATAAATGGCCAAAATGTTGTCCGGAGCAAATTTACTGTTCCAACATTCCTGCCGACAGTGTAGGATGGTTCTAACTTCTCAGCGTCCCTGGGCGTCGTTATGGTCTTTTCTGGACGAATAATGAAGGGAGCTTACTGGCCGTCGGCATCTCCGGAATAACTTCTATCCGTGTCTCTTGCCTGGTTTGAAATTAGGCTGCTGCCTTTTATTGCTGTTCTGTGACCGTTCTCTGTGAGTTTTAATACAGCTGCATGGTTCGCAAACATCTCCCCCCCCCCGTTCTGTGGGCTGTCTTTTCACCTTTGATACGCACATATTTCTATTTTGTTTTGTTGAGATGGTCTTACCATACAGCTCAGGCTGGCCTTGAACACACGATCCTCCTGCTTCTGCTTCCCACTTGCAGAGACTCTTTTAATTTTTATGAAATTCAGTTAATTTGTTATTTTTCTTTGCTTATACTTGAGTGTCATATCATTTTAGGCCTGTGTGTTTTAAAGAGTTGTTTTCTTTTCTCATATGTAGGATATTTTTAAAGTGTATTTGTGGTACTGGTGCTTCAACCCAGGCCTTGACATGAAAGTAAGCGCCCTACCACTAAGGTGCACCCCTACACCTTTGGTTTTGGTTTTTTTGTTTGTTTGTTTTGTTTTCTTTTTTTGTTTTTGTTTTTTGGCTTTTTAAGACAGGGTTTTCCAGTAGCTGTAGCCCAGTCCTGGAACTCACTCTGTAGACCAGGCTGGGTTCGAACCCACAGAGATCCACCTGCTACTGCCTCCCGAGTGCTGAGATCAAAGGCGTGCGCCATCACACCTGACTCAGTTCTTAAATTTTCTGGTGCTATTCTAAGGGGGCAATCTTGTCGCTTCTCAGGTTGTCATGGCTGTTCCTAGGTGTACCGCTGATGTTGTGGATTGTGAAACCTTGCTAAATTATTAGCTCTCACAATTTCCTTTTATTTTTTCTGGTCCTGGGTATGGAAGCGAGGGCTTCACACATGCTGGGCAAACTGTCGGTGAGAGGTAGCTTAACCTGAGTTCTAACAATTCTTTTGCGGACACCTTAAGATTCGGTGTGCACAAAACCATATTGTGAATGGATAGTAATAGTCTTCCAGCTGGGCGGTGGGGGCACACACACACCTTTAATCCCCACACTCAGGGAGGCAGGGGCAGGCAGAGCTCTGTGAGTTTGAGGTCAGCTTGGTCTACAGAGTGAGTTGTAGGACAGCCAGAGCTACACAGACAAACCCTATCTCGAAAAACAAAAAAAACAAAAACAAAAGTCTTCTACCCCACTTTATTGTTTTAAAATGATGAGGGCCTTGATCAGGTTTAGTAAGCTCTGTGCTCCTGAGCTGCACCCCCACCCCTGTATCTACTTCTTTGAAATAAATAAATAAATGAATGAATGAATGAATAAATAAATAAATAAAAGCTACTTAGGCATTGAAGCCACTGGATCGTCAGAAATTCCCGCAGTTGTTGCTCCTATGTGGCACCTGTTTCATTTGCTCACTACGGGGTTGAGATTCTTCAGCTGAAAGTCAGGGCCAACTCATTGGAATATTGCGCAACGGAACCCGATACCCTCTTTACAGATTCCACCTGGGGCTGTGATTTCCCCACTTCTGTGTAGAGAGTACTTCTAGCCCCACTAATTGGTGAGGGATTTAGTTCCTTATACAGGGAACAAGATACGGTCTCCATCCCCAGGGACCTGTGAGTCGGGTGAGAGACTGGGAAAGCCCCTCTCTTCTCAGGGCTGAGTTTGAGAGCCAGCCCAGACCTGACGCTTTGTTTTCCTGGCAGCTGGAACAGTTTAAGGCGGATAACCAAGACACAGGCTTCGGCTCGGGCACCCGGGCTCTGGAGCAAGCTCTGGAGAAGACGAAAGCCAACATTAAGTGGGTGAAGGAGAACAAGGACACGGTATTCCAGTGGTTCACAGCAAACAGCTAGGAATGAGACCTGGACCTGAGAGCCACTTGGTCCCTGCGACACCAATCAACTCTCTCCGCAGTCTGTGCAGGGTCTCTGTCCTCAGCGCACCATACACCAGCATCCTACCCTCAAGGACCCTGTGGAGCCAGCCTTGCTTCTATTGGTCAGGCTGCTCTGACACCGCCCAGCCCTTGCCCCTCATGCCAACTCTGCCCCAGGCCCAGGCCTCTGGGGCTGATCTCAGGGAAGCCCAGCTTTGAGGCCAGATTAAGAAGACTTTACTGGACCAACGGCTGCCCGGATAGAGTCACCCTGCACACATTACCGCTTTCCCCACAGGACCCAGAACCAAAGAATCAACAGGGCACCAAGATCTATATATATTTTTAAGAGAAAATGTAAATAAAGAATTTCTAAAATCAGCTCGCAGGCTTTTGTCACTCACAGTTGGGGAGGCTGGAGAGGGGAGCTGGGGGAGCATGCTATAGGTCTAGGGGAGTGGAGGAAGGAGCGCGCTTCCTGGCCCCATACAGTGTCTTGCAGCCGATTCCAAGGACAAGTTTTTAGGGTTGGGCCCAGAGGAACCTCCTGGAAGTTGAGGGGGGTAGGTATGGTGGTTCCCACAGGATCCTCTCTATCAGATCTCAAGAAGGCAGTGTGCTGGGTGTGGCCCTCCTATTGTGGGCACTCAAAGAGACACTGGGCACCTGGGAATGGGGAAAAGGTATAGTAGAGACCCCAAACCTAAATGCTGAGTCATGACCTTGGGCATGAACCTCCTCTCCAGGCTCCCAGGTCGATTTTCTGGGGAACCAGAAGGGCTGGGCTGCTGGGTGAGGAGAACTTGGGAAGACTTGAATGTTTTTTTTTTAATATTTATTTATTTATTTATTATGTATACAATATTCTGTCTATGTGTATGCCTGCAGGCCAGAAGGGGGCACTAGACCCCATTACAGATGGTTGTGAGCCACCATGTGGTTGCTGGGAATTGAACTCATGACCTTTGGAAGAGCAAGCAATGCTCTTAACCTCTGAGCCATCTCTCCAGCCCCAAGGACAGCCTCTTGTGCCAGATACATATTGGCCCCTGGGGATTGCAAAGGCGCAAAAGTACCAGGCTGGGCTGCCCGTCTCTATTTACAAATTAAAAAAATGAGCAGGCTAGGCACAGTGGCACACTCTTGTTCCCAGTTCCCAGCAGGCAGAGGCAGAAAGATCAGGGGTCAAGCTAGGCACAGTGATACACTCTTGCTCCCAGCAGACAGAGGCAGAAAGATCAGGAGTTGGAGACCAGCCTAAGGAAACCCTATCTGAGGAAGGAGAGAGGGAGAGGGAGAAGAGAGAGAGAATTAAACATAATAAGCACACTGGGAAGTACTGATAAAGGGCCCCAGTGCCTCCCAAGTCCATCTCTGTCACAAGCTTTAGGACTGACTGGATGAAAGAATTGGGGCAGCAGGCAGGAGGGGGTTATTCATAATTAAGTCATCTTAGTCCTAGGTATGGTACGGGGATCACTGCCTTTTCTGGTTCAAAACGATCCAAGAAGTCCTTTGTGCTTGAGAGGAAGGAGCTGGCTCTGTGTGAGGACTGACTCGTCGCGGACTGATTGTCTCTGAGGCTCTGCCTGCGACTGGATGTTTTGTGGAGCCTTCCTATGGGGTTGGGAATGGGACAGACATTGTAAAAGGAGGCCGAGAGCAAGACGCTGGCCTTGAGGAGAGGTGAGATAGCTCAGGCATCCCCCCAGATGCTCGAGTGACTAATAGACCTGCGAGCAGAGTTCAGCCGCTCACATGCCACCGCGCGCCTGTAGAGGACAACTCTGTGGGGTTGGTTCCCTCCTTCCACTTTTACTTGGGTTCCTGGGATCAGACTTTGGCCGCCAGGTTTGCAAGGCCACTGAGTCAACTCCCTGTCTCCCTAACTCTTTTATTTGTGTTTTGGTATCTGCGTGTCCAAGACCTTGTGTGTGTGTAGATGTGTGTGAAGGCCACAGGTGGTCTTCCTCTACCACTATCCACCTATTTATTTATTTACTTATTTTTATTTATTTATTTATTTGTTTAATTAGGGTTTTGGTTTTTTTTTTTTTTTTTGGAGACAGGGTTTCTCTGTATAGCCACTCTGGCCATCCTGGGATTCCCTCGGTAGACCAGGCTCTCAGAGATCCACCTGCCTCCATCTTTCGAAGGTGTGCGCCACCTTCGTGTGCGTATTTATTTATTTTTTGTGAGACAGCATCTCTTACTGAACCCAGAGCTCACCTATGAGACCCGCAGTCCCTCCTGTCTCCCCCTCGCAGAGCTGGGGTTATGGGTTTGCACCACTGTGACCAGCTTTATGCATGGGTGCTGCGTCGCTGAACTTGGATCCTCATGTTTGTGAGGCAAGTGCTTGATTGACTGAGCCCCTGGTCTGTCTCGTAGCTTTAAGGAAAAGGAGACAGATGGAGAAGGCAGGTAGGGCTAGTGGGCTTTTTTTCTTTTGTTACTGTAGGGTCCCAAGCAAGGAGTCAGTTCTTTTTGCCAAAAACAGTAACATAGCCCGGTTGTAGAAAGCTCACACAACCTCAGCCCAACCAGGCCCTGCTGAATGGTCTGAAGGAAAAAGGTGACTGGCAGCCACAGGGGACCTTGGGACATCAGTTATTACCCACAATCATTACTTCCCAACAGGAATCACTCTTAAAAATCAATCAATCCAGCACTTGGGAGGCAGAGGCTGGAGGATCTCTGTGAGCTCAAGGCCAGCCTGGTCTACAAAGGGAGTTGCCGGACAGGCTCCAAAGCTACAGAGAAACCCTGTCTCGAAAAACCAAAAAAAAAATAAAAAATAAAAAAAAATCAATCAATCAATCGATTATTTTGTAGCTCTGGGTGGCCTCTAGATATAGATAGATCACCAGACTAGCCTTGAACTCACAGAAACTGCCTGCCTCTGCTTCCTGAGAGCTGGAATTAAAGGCTCGTGGCTGAGCCGTACCGCAGCTGTTATCTTCTTGGCTGCTTTAGTATGGGTGTGTGTGTACATGTACACCTGTGTGCATGTGTGTATCCGCGTGTGTGTTGACCAGTAGTCCACAGTGAGTGTCTGTCTTTCTGGGTTGTTCTCCACCTTATGAGGGTCTGTGAAGTCAGTCTTCAAGGCTGAGCAGCAGCAGGCACTATCAACTGAGCCACCTCTCTGGCTTGTCGGTGACTTTTTGACACTGGAGCAAGAGGGACAGGAGTTCAAGGTCATGCTTAGCAACACAGCAAGTACCACCATCCCTAGCCTCCTCTGGCTTCAAGCAGCCCTCTTTCCCAAGTGGGAAGGAGGTAGTCTGATATGGGGGTGGGAAGGCTCCCAGCTTCTCCCTTTCTATCTGCATATCAAAGAGCGGGGGCAAGATCCTGTGGCCTGGCCTTGGTGAGGGGCCCTGCCGGAGGCTCCCTGGGCTGCCCTAGATTAAATGTCCGGACTCCTTCACTCTGCACCAACCCTTCCTGACGCCAGTACCCAGCAGCCTTGGCTAGCACTTGACCTTCTGGCGTTCAGCTGGGGGAGGGGTCGGTCTCAGTCTCACCGGTTTGGGTCCCTGTGGATATCACAGGGGAGAATGGGCTTATCAGAGAGCTGTCTACCAGCATCCCCTCTTTCTTAGCTGATGCTAAATGATCATAAACTATCCTAACCTGTGTTTTTTTTTTGTTGTTGTTGTTTTTAATTTGACCTTTTCAGTGCTGTGGACCAAACCTAATGCACGCTAGGCTCGTGCTGCACTGTGGAGCTACACAGCCACACTCATCTCAGGTTTATAGATAAGGTAGCCGAGGCCAGAGAGCTTAAGTCGTGGCTCTGGCGTAGGAGCTGACCTCTGACTCGATCGTCAAAGTTAGTAGTAACCGAACCTTTTAGCTGAGCCAGAGTCTGCTACATCCACATTTACAAGCTCCTGTTCCCTGTCTCCTTAAAATGCCGACATTCATAAGGCTCTGTGTGGCTGGAAGATGCCAGTCCTCTGAGATGCAGTCAAGATACCCAGAGCCAAAAGCCTGCCCACAGGAGTTTAGTTAAGGTCCCAGAGAAAAAACTCACTAGAATGCAGGCTGCCTATGGCCTGTCCAGCCTCTGCCTGCCAAGGGATAGACCATTGCCAGGAGGGATGAGGATGCTTCCAGCAGACAGCAGCAGTCCCAGGGGTCTCAGAATGTGTGAGATTCGAAGACAAGGGATGGGTGGGGAGACAGGGAGGAGTTACAGCTTTGAGAGGCAGGGCTGAGCCTACCTGCTTCTGTTGTTCCAGAAGCATCAAGCTGTCTAGCCTCCCAGGAAACTCCAGCCTGGCAATTGGTTGGATTGATGGAGGTGCATGGTCCCCATAGGGGGTGGCCTTCGAGGAACACATGGAAGAGAGCTGGGGACTGAGGCTGCCAAAATCCAGAGGATGTTTGTTTCCAGTAGCAACTTGTAGGTGGGTCTTCTGCCTCCCCCACTCCCCGCATCCCTTTGGGCCTCCATGCTGGGGACTGAGGCTGCCAAAATCCAGAGGATGTTTGTTTCCAGTAGCAACTTGTAGGTGGGTCTTCTGCCTCCCCCACTCCCCGCATCCCTTTGGGCCTCCATGCTGGGGACTGAGGCAGGAATGATGTCTTTCTGTCCCTTTGGGAGCTCATCCTAAGCAAGCGTCAATCACAGGAAGCTCTGGCACTTGTCTGGTTCTGCCTTGAGGCCAGATCTAGGGAGACAGGTAGCCCAGGTATTATGCCCCGTGTCCTCTTAGGAAGAAGGGAGTGGCAGACTGGAGTCAGGTGCATGGTGCTTACACCTAGCTGGCAGCTATGGGAAGTTGCTTTCCTCCCTAGATCTCTTTGCTCAACTGGAAAATGAAGGCGTATTGGGCAGTGGTGGCGCATGCCTTTAATCCCAGCACTTGGGAGGCAGAGGCAGGTGCATTGCTGTGAGTTCGAGGCCAGCCTGATCTACAAGAGTGAGTTCCAGGATAGGCTCCAAAGCTACAGAGAAACCCTGTCTCAAAAAAGAAAAAAAAAAAAAGAAAATGAAGGGAAGAACTATTGAGTCCAATCCTGTCTGGACACTGTGCCCAGGTGGCTCAGTATCCAATTAGTTTGGGAGTCACCTGACTGGGTCATAAGTGCTGTGACCTGACTCAGCTACTTCATTTCTTAAGCGGCCATCATCTTCCATCTGAGAGACTGGTGGGTATATTATGATCTCCACTGCACATTTGGCGAAACAGACACAAAGGACTTCCATAGCTCACCCACAGTTACTCAGCAAAGAAGAGTTGAGTGTAGTGTGCTCTGAAGTAAGCCTGTGTGTGAGTGTGCTTGTGTGTGCACACATGAGTGCATGCGTGTGTGCGTATGTAGGTGTGCTGTAGACTTTTCCTCATCTTTCCAGGATTAGTGAC